ACTTAAAAATATTTAAGTCTTATGTCCATTGTCCTTCCCACTCAATCTCCCTTTACTCCCATTTCTTCTACGTCAAGAATATAAGCCATGTAACTTCTTGGAAATTATCATTGCTCCCCCTTTTAATTTACTTTTATCCACAGGTAAAGATAGAATTGAGGGTACTCGTGAGAAGATTCATTTAGATATTCTAGGCTGGGTAGGTATAAGAAGAGTGTCCAGGAGAGACTAATAAGTTGAAGGTGTTGGAGGGGAGGGTTTGAGGGATCCATCAAGCCTCACAGTTTGAGTAACTAGGCTTCTTAGAACAAATAAAAAAAATTATTTAATGTGGATTATAAAAGTTGTTATTGTTACTTAAAAATTGTGTAGTTGACCCTTGAACAGCACAGGTTTGAACTGTTCAGGTCCACTAATACGTGGATTTGTTTGGTTTTTTTTTAAATAAAGTACTGCAAATGCATTTTCTCTTCCTTATGATTTTCTTAGTTATGTTTTCTTTCCTCTGATTTACTTTATTGTTAGAATATAGTATATAATATATGTAACACAAAGTATGTGTTAATTAACTGTGCTATTGGTAAGGCTTCCAGTCAACAATAGGCTATTTAGTAGTTAAGTTTTGGGGCAGTGAAAAGTTACACACAAATTTTCAACTGTGCTGCAGGTATAGGGGGTCAGTGCTTCTAACCCCTTGTTGTTCCAAGGTCACCTGTATATGCTACACATGGATATTTGGTGAAAGTTATTCATGAGCCAAGGGGTATGTTTTTTACTTGGCTGTAACAAATGCGAGACATTTAAAAGTGTTCCTATGTAGTGAGTTGAATTGTGTCTCTTAGAGATGTTCAAAGTCCTAATCCCTGATGAATATGACTTTATTCGGAAATAGGTTTTTTGCAGATAAAATTAAAGATGAGGTCTTACCATGCCTAGTGCCTAAAATTTAGGACCTGTGGACCCTAAATCCAATGGCTGATACCTCTGTAAGAAGGGAAGAAGACACAGAGACATGGGGAAAGGCTATGTGAAGACAGAGGCAGAGATTGGAGAGATGCAGCTGCAAGCCACTGAATGCCAGGGATTGCCCAGAAGTCACCAAAGCTAGGATGAGGCATGGAAAGATTCTTCTCTAGAGTCTGGTGGGAGCATTGTCCTACTGACACCTTCATTTTGGACATCTAGCATACAGAACTGTGAGAGAATAAATACCTGTTGTTAGAAGCCACCCAATTTGTGTTACTTTCTTAAAAAAAAAACCCAGGGAAACTAATACAGTCGTTTAGCTTGCTCCTGAAATTAATTTTAGTTTGTATGTTTTAATTATAAATATATTAAAAATTAATTTTAATTTATAAATATGTTACCATGACAAACAGAAATAACATTAATTCATAAGGTATGTTTTATACATTGTATTAGCTTGATTTGAGGGCAACATGTTGAAAACCAGATTACAGGCAGAACTGTGACAGCAAGATAGTTGGCTCTTGATGGTACTTCAAATAAAGCTTAAAAGATCTGATTTATTGCATTTATTCAAATCTGTGATTCCATTGACAATCTCAGCTTTTCTGAGAGAAATTACTCTTAATATTATGCTAGGAAGTAATCTAAAATAGTTTCTAAATATGAGTCTTCTATTTACGTCCTTTTAAAAGACTATTATATTTTATTTTATTTTTTTTTAAAGATTTTATTTGTTTGACAGAGACACAGAGAGAGAGGGAACACAAGCAGGGGGGTGGGAGAGAGAGAAGCACGCTTCCTGCGGAGCAGGGAGCCCGATGCGGGGCTCGATCCCAGGACCCCAGAATCATGACCTGAGCCGAAGGCAGACGCCTAACAACTGAGCCACCCAGGCGCCTCAAGACTACTGTATTTTAACAGTCATGTAATACAACATGGCATTCTCTTGATAACCTAGGTCAAAGTAGCAATTCTCTTTTCTTTTTTTTAAAGATTTATTTATTCATTCATCTATTTATTTATTTTAGAGAGAGAGAAGGAGAGAAAGCATAAGTGGGAGGGACAGAGGGAGAGGGAGAGAATCTCAAGCAGACTCCGCGTTGAGCACAGAGCCCAGCTTGGGGCTCAATCCCACAACGCTGAGATCACGACTTGAGCTCAGACCAAGAGTCAGACGCTTAACTGACTGTGCCACCCAGGCACCCCAAGCAGTTCTTTTTTTCTATACTCAGTTTATTAAACCAAAATTGTTTGGGTTATGTTCTTGATATTTTCTTACAGAAGTAAAATTTGGGATTTGTCCTTGACATGCTTTGGATACTTGTAATGAAAATACTTCACAGATTTTGGATCATGTGATAGATCATTTATCATTTATTTCCTTATTAGGCCTTTTTTCAAGATTATAGCTTATATATCTCTTAGTTTTCTGTTGCTGCCATAACAATAACAAACTATCTCAAATTTAACAGCTTAAAAGAACACACATTTATTATATCACAATTTCTTTAAGTCAGAAATCTGAGTAGGCTTGGCCTGGGTCCTCCACCTAGCATCTCACAAAGTCAAAATCAAGGTGTCAGCTGGGCCATTCCTTATCAAAGGCTCTAGGGGAGAATCTGCTTCCAAACTCATCAACACTGTCAACCAAATTGTTTTTGCTGTTGTAGGACACAGGTCCCTGTTTCCTTGCTGGCCTTCACCTGGGGGCTGTTGTTTGCTCCTGGAAGCTGTCCATATTCTTTGTCATATTCTCCATGTGGCACCCTCCCAGCAATAGCAGGTCAAGTCCGTTTCAGTTCTAATCTCTCTGGTTTTTCCTGCTGCAGCTCTGACTCCAGCTGAAGAAAACTCAGCTTTTAAGAGCTCATGTGATTAGATTGGGCCCACTCAGATAAATCAGAATAATCTCTCTGTATTAACACCTGAAATCTGCATTACATCCCTTTGCCATGTAATAAAACGTATTCACAAATTAAAGTGACACTTAAAGTGTCAGACTCTCACTTGTTCATTTTTGTATCACTAGTGCCTGGTACATTGTAGATGTTGCACAAATATTTGTTCAAAAATGATTGAGTTCATGAGCATCACAGCTAACGAAGACTTACTAAACAGCTACTATGTGCAGGTTGATCATCCAGTTGATTCAGTGCTTACTAAATGATGTGTCTTCGAGCCATCACCACCTGATTTTTTTCTGATTATTCCTGGCCATTGTTGCTAGACAGGCGCTTTAACCAACTAAGCCACGGCGCCCACCTGGCCATTGTTGCTATAAAGAAAGGAGGTCTGTAATTGCACTTTGATGATTAGAATAAAAAGCCCAAACCAGAAGTACAGTGCCTTGAATCCCGCTGTGATATTAATAAGTTGTATGATTCCCAAGATTAATTAATTTCTGAGCCTCAGCTTACTCATTTATAAAATGAAAAATGTAAAATAAGATCTTTAAGATTTCTTTTAACTTTAAAATTTGTAAGCTGTGAATTTTTCTTTTGTAATAAAATGGGAGACTTGAAAGGTTGGAGGAATTCAAGATTATCTTAACCTTAAAACCCTCATTTAATCATTTTTTGCCCTTGTCTAAGTATCAGCATTCAGAAAATGCGCAAATGTTTTTGAGAATTTTGCTTAAACCATATATTTATCCTTTCATTTAATTTTTCAAGACTGAAAGAGAAAAGTTTAATGAAATACTGTCAGTGTAATTTTTTAAAAATAAAAGCAAACACGAAGAGGGAATTATCTGATACAAAGTTGAGCCTATAGATTTTCTACTGATAAGTCAAAAGTAGGGCTAAGTGAAGAAGTCAGCCAAACTCAATTTTCTTAGGATTCAAATTCTAGTATCAGATGGAAAACATTTCTTTCCCTTAAGTAACAAGTTTTAGAGGGAAGAACTAAAGCTAATGGTTGATCTGTTGTGAACATGATGGTATACCACTTAACCAAATTTTTGTGCACTCCACCCGTTACACACAGAAGTGAAATGCATTTTTTCTTTTTAGTTAACATTTAGTTTTTATTCCAAAATAGCGAAGTAGTTAGTTAGTTCCAGTGGAATTATCTTACATCTTAAGGAGAGCATATTTAAGGATCAATTTGTATACAAGAACCTAACCGCCTTATTCTGTGACACCTCAGAACTCTGTTAAATCTGAAATGGAGTATTTGCCCAACTTGTTTTTGCCTTGTGAAGAAACTTGGTACAGTATTAAATTGTTAACTGATTTTATTTTAAGTAGTTCTAAGATAGTTTATGCCTCTAGGTATTATACTTAAAATGGAGACAATAGCTTGTTTTTTGTTTTGTTTTAAGATTTTATTTTATTTATTTGAGAGAGTGAGAGAGCACAAGAGGGGGTAGGATCAGAGGGAGAAGCAGACTCCCCGCTGAGCAGGGAGCCCGATGTGGGACTTGATCCCAGGACTCCGGGATCATGACCTGACCCGAAGGCAGTCGCTTAACCAGCTGAGCCACCCAGGTGCCCTGGAGACAGTAGTTTTTAAGGAAGAGTGGACATAAGCCTCGAACATTATATATTATTATACCTGGAAGAGATTTTTGGGATCATCTGTTAGAAATTCCCTTGTATCGTAGATGGGGAAACTGAGTGGTACTTAACTTGCTCCAGCTTTTACTTCCAGGCCTTAGTAGAATCAGGTCATTTATTCCCCATCACATGCTCTTCTATACTGCACTGCTTGTTTGATAGCATTTTATTTATTTTTAATTTTTTTAAGATTTATTTATTTGAGAGAGAGAGAGCAGGGAGCACAGTGGGGAAAGGGAGAGAGAAACCCTGATATCATGACCTGAGCCGGAGCCAAGAGTGGACACTTAACTGACTGTGCCACCCAGGTGCCCCTTGTTTGATGGCATTTTCAAATAAAAACAGAAAGAAGGTATTTTGCAACTAGTCAAAAGTTAAACAAAAGCAAAGTATGATCCGAAGAGAAATTATTTAAAATTATAATTTCATTTAAATAAAATGTGTATGACTTCATTTACTATTTTTTTTGTTTAGGTGAAAAGAGATTTGAATGCCCAGAATGTTCCAAAAGGTTTATGCGGAGTGATCATCTCTCCAAACATGTCAAAACGCACCAGAATAAGAAAGGTGGTGGGACAGCTCTTGCCATTGTTACCTCGGGAGAACTGGACTCATCTGTTACAGAGGTGCTTGGCTCCCCAAGAATTGTCACAGTTGCAGCCATTTCTCAAGATTCAAACCCAGCAACTCCCAATGTTTCAACCAACATGGAAGAATTCTGAAAAGTTATTTATAACAGAGACCTCTAGTGCTGCACTTAAGTTTACACACCTTTGAAAATCTGGAAATGGGCTGGTCAAGTGGATTACAGAGTAGGAAATCATGTTTTCATTCTTGGCTTCTTTAAGTATTCCAAGATTTTGGGTCAACACATAAAATGTTGAATTTTTAAAAATACAAAAAGCAAACTGATATACTAGAAACAGAAAAGTATTTCCTCCATACTGTAAGTTGTAGTTATTTGGAAATAGATCACATAATCCTTAAACTGAATCTTCCCCCTCTCTTAACATTATGTGTTAACATGTTTAAAAAGACAGACCTCAGTGTTTGCAGGCTGGACCTTAATTGGACTTGTTTTCTTTGGAAGTACTTTGTTACAAATTCAGTCAGTAATATTTTTATGTAGGTTTTTTTTCCCCCCCTGTAGCACAGAAAACAGTTAACTAATGATAGGGATAATACTTTATCTCCTTAGCTTGTTTTTGGAAAGTCAACTGAAAATAGTTTTGGCCGTCTTTTCTAAATGTTAGAAATTCTTCAACATTTGAATTAGAGTAAGTTCCAAAAAAGTAATCTGAGATGCAGCTCAGATCTTTATTACCACTACATTATAGTAGTGTGTATGCAGACAATCAGTGAAGTCCAATTACTTTCTCCATTTGGAGACACAAGAGGAACTTAGAGCTAAACTTTAGGTTAAATTTTAGATTGAAACCTTAGAAAAATACTGGGGTGGGGAGGGTGGTTAAAACAAAACTCATAATAGCTTCAGAAAAATAAAATGAGGCAACTTAACATGTAAGGTTTTGAAGTTAGGATTGATTATATTCCTAACCCTAGGTTAAACCACAAAATTCATTTTAAATGTTTATATTGGAAATATTTGCATAGAGTATAAATCATTCTGTAGTTTCATATTCTGTAAATATGATTTATGTTGACAATGTGCAGAATTCTTTATGCTTTGACTTGGTAGCCAAAGAAGGAATTATCACACCTTTTTTTAAGGCCAGCAGAAAATTATCTTTTAATACATTACAAATTCCATTTTCCTCTCTACTAAAATTTAGCCAATCTCATTTATTTCTAGAACTCTGTTAGAAGGCTGGTTACGAATTTATAACATAGAAATATCTTTATGTTATGCCGATAACTGAATTTTCCCTAAAAAGACAGCCTAACAAATATATAACAATGTGATATTACGAAGCAGGTTATTTTTTAAAAATCAGAATAATGTTCAAATAAGTGACTAAAGGAAAAAATTATTTTATTGTTTATGCAAGGATCTTATAGGAAAGATGGCCAAAAGTCTCATGAAAAAAATTTGGATTATACCAACAGCTTACGTATTAGTAAGATATCTCTTACTTTAAAAATGTATTTACGTGGAAACATTAATGGAATTGGAATTTACAATTGGAAAACTAAAATTTTTAACTGCCTGGTTTATTAACATTTGTTTGGGAACCGTTTGAATAAAGGTACGTGTTTTCTTGTGCATTCTCTATTATTTCAGGAAAAGTACTACTCATGCGAATTCTCTTCCAAAATTGTAATGTTTCTTGTATTTTTGATGAAGGAGAAATACTGTAATGATCACTGTTTACACTATGTACACTTTAGGCCAGCCCTTTGTAGCGTTATATAAAACTGAAGGTCTTTTGTGCTTTCAGTTTGTATAAAAAAGCTTTGAGATTAAAGGAAAAAAAATTTTTACACTGTGGTTATAAATTTCAAGTTTCTTAAAGCTTTTGTAGACTTGTAACAAAGTCTTTAATTTTAGTTGGATTTTGTAAATTGTTTTGTATATTTTATTTAATGTACTCTTAACAACTGATGTATCTGGCTTTAAAACATCAGAATCAGTTTGTTGTTTTGTTTGGTACAGAGGAGCATTTGGTAGTGTTAATTTTAATTTTATTATATAGGAGCTGAAACATCAAATATATATTTTATCTATCATTATGCTACACAATCAGTGCTATAAATTTTTTTATGCAAAGAAACTTTCCTAACGTTTGAATCATGTTTCCTCAAAGTGACACTTTTTGTTGTTGTTAATACCAAGTATGAGCTCTCTGCACCGTTACTCCATGAACCAGTTTTAATGCATACCTGTGTATGCTCATCAGAAATGGAAGTTATTTTTTAATCAACAATGAGGCCTATTATAAATTTAACAAACTGAATCTGGATAGCTTTATAGCATATAAAATATATTAATTTGTGTTAGCAGGTGCACATTTCACCACTGAAATTAGAAATATTTTGACAGTCTGTTCTGCATACCATTCTGAATCCACTTTTCTGTCTTATAAGAATCGTAAATTTCAGTGTCCTTTATTTGACTCAGTGGGATATAGCTGTTATAAGTAATAGGGCACAGATGTGCAGTAGAGTCATATTTAATGGCATTTCACTGTTCATTCCCTTTGCCACCGTTATAAAACTTTTCTTTATTGTAATTATCAGTGCAAAGATATGTATTTATCATGGTAGAACTCCAGTGTTAGAATAGTTTTTTCTTACAGTATACTTTCTTTGGTTAGGTTTGTGTATGTGTTGCTGATTACATTAGAACTTGATGTTAAGTCATTATTTATCACACTCTCATGAGAGCAGTAATAAAAGTGTGTAATCTAGGAGAAAAAGTTAATTTGTCAAACTTAGATAAGCATGATGTTTAGGTCCTATTTTTCAATTTTATAACTGTTTTATTGCAACAATATTTGTATTTAAGTCTTCATTTTAATGCCTTGTGGTGTTTTTTTATGCATGTCACTAAGTTGTCATCCCACATAAATTGATGTGCAGCATAGGGTATTAAATCTACATAATGATTTTAAAACAAATAGTTGATGGTAAAATGTAAATGTTTTACAAAAATTCCTTATAAAAAGTTTTGTAGTAACATTTCACTTGTAAATTTTTTTTGTAAAAAAAATGAAAATGAAAAAAAAAAGGATGAATCCAGAAAAAACCTGTTCCCCATATCCTAGAATTTAGACAATTATTCTGCCAGCAAAGCCTCTGGGGCTGTAATTGACATTTTTACAGTGCTGATTTGTATAAAATTTGTTTTTTGTGGATTTGGAAATAAAATCATGTACAAGTTGTTGCCTGCAATAACAATTGCAAGTAACTATTAAAAATTCCCTTGAGTTTAACATGTTTCTTCATTTAATTATGTATACTATAAAGCAGCAATAAATTATTTGAAGTATCAACCTTCTTATCACGATGAGCACTAGGAAGTAAATGCTTCTCACTAGAAAACGTATTGGCAACTCTTCATAATTCCTGGTATTAAGATCTGATCACCATTTCTCTGAACATACTGCCAAAGAACACCAATGCAGATTTCATGTTAATTTGTGTAGCCATTGCTCTAGACATTTATGGAAATTAAAATTTGATTTAGGGACATTTTTTACTTAAATATTTTTAAGCAATAAATGTTAGGACATTGTAGGAAGAGCTAAAAATGAAAACATAATTAAAATATTTAAGCTCACAGAAACACTGAGAAGCAGAGTGTGCCACATAAATGCCACAAAATCTGTAAGCAAAAGCTGTTGTCTTTTCCTCAGGGGAGAACCCAGCAAATACCATGAAGAACCTTGCTAACGTAATGAATACATTATTGGAACAACTTCAGTTACCAGATTTCCAAGCCCAGGCCAGATTAGATGATGCAGCCACACGAGGGGCTGGGGATGTTATGCAGCAGGGGAAGTACACTGCCTCACTGATAGAAGATTCCACAGAGTCTTTTTACATCTATAGTAATCAGGAGCTAAATAGTGTGTGGGGAGATTGCCTTGTACAGGAAAGCCCGAAGGTAAACGTATGTTTATGTCAGAACTCCGTGTCGTGTAGTATGTGTTCATAACAATGACTGAATCGAGAAACAGTTAAATTATGCTATTCTGCCAAACAAGACCAGTAAGAAATTTTTCAAAAAATTGATATCAAGACGAAAGATGATAGAATTACCAGAAAAATTTACATTTGGAAGCTTCAGGATACTATATAAAAGAGGTGATAATGAAAGAGAATTAAAATTTTGTTGTGTTTTTTAAATTATTAATATGATAGTACCAGTTTGATTCTTGGGACTTCTAGGAACTTCAGCCACATAACTATGAACAAGACTGAGTGAAAGAAAAGACCACGAAAGTAATGCTTTTTACTTTCTCCTAGACTGTGGACATGAGTATAATAAGCTGGGGAAGTTGAAGCAGTGCTGAGAGCAAGACCGTACTATAATATGGTGTGGTTCACAGTGCTGTTGGGGAGGATAACCTCAAGGCAGGGAAAGAGATAGTATCATTTGTTTAGTATTTAAAAGTTCACATGCTTGGGGCGCCTGGGTGGCTCAGTCGTTAAGCGTCTGCCTTCGGCTCAGGTCATGATCCCAGCGTCCTGGGATCGAGCCCCGCATCGGGCTCCCTGCTCTGCGGGAAGCCTGCTTCTCCCTCTCCCACTCCCCCTGCTTGTGTTCCCTCTCTCGCTGTGTCGCTCTCTTTTATTAAATAAATAAAATCTTAAAAAAAAAAAAAAAGTTCACATGCTTAAGGGGTGCAGAGACTTAAGGTGTGTGCAAGAAACGCGAAAGCTTATTCTTGAATACATCTGAATCGTGTTAACTGTATTTATTACCCAAGCAATAATATCTGTTTGATATACACACAACCAACTTGTAATTGTGTAGCAGGATTTTTAAGGTACGTATTTTCATTCTTTTCAGATTTGCTAATTAGCATCTTGGGCTGTGTTCCTCCTAATAGGTGGCAATGAAATAATTTATTTTTGGATACCTGCGAGTAATCTCAAGTACAAATAAAAGGAGAGGGGAAGAGAGGAAAGAAGATAGATCTTGTAAACCTCTATTTTTGTCTAAGGTAATAGTTTGGATAATTTCTCCTGGAAGAAAAAATGTTCCAATTAGATTAGGTTACTAGATTTCAGAATTTTAATAATACCCCCAAGTTTTCATGTATTTAAAAAAATATATGTGCTGCTTGTAATATTTTGGCCCAGAAAAGCAATTTAAGTATGCATGTACATACAGTGCAACTATTTACAATAAGGATTTGAATTAGCAGTACATGTACTAGACCATACAGACGTAAAAATCTGTTCTCTTTAAACAGAAAAGGTAGTTTTATGATAAATCATGTATCACACTATTCTGCCCACAATCAAGTGCAGATACTGAAGCCTTAAGTACATTGTACATTGCTTAGTGAAGTCAACCAGGAAAATTGGGTGACAGTCAAGCAAAATTTTCATGTAACCTTATGTGTGAAATATTGCATAAAAACAAAGTACCATAATAAAAAATTTTATTCGGGGAAACAGTAGCTGGGTTTCCCCCAATTAACAATACTGTCATTGCATAGCTGGCGCTGTTTAAAATTTTTGTTCAATGCAAACATAATTCATAGGGGTTTTTTGTTCTCTATATATACTTTAAAGGGTTTATTTATTAGAGAGCAGGGGCAGAGGGAGAGGGAGAGAAAAACTTAAGCAGACTCTGTGCTGAGCGTGGAGCCCGACCTGGGGCTCAATCCCACAACCCTGAGGTCATGACCTGAGCTGACTGCCCCACCCAGGTGTCCCGATGTTCCCTATATTTTAATAAAAAGTACATGTATATAGATTATGCTGTGTGTAACATTGTAGATATATATCATAACATTTGGGTTGGATTAAGAAGTTAAAACTTCAGGAATGCCTGGGTGGCTCAGATGGTTAAGCGTCCGCCTTCGGCTCAGGTCATGATCCCAGGGTCCTGGGATCAAGTCCCACATCGGGCTCCCTGCTCAGCAGGGAGCCTGCTTCTCCCTCTGCCTGCTGCTCCCCCTGCTTGTGCGCACGCTCTCTCTCTAATAAAATCCTTTTTTAAAAAAAAGTTAAAACTTCAGAATAAAACTTTTGTTTTTAAAGATGCTTTAGGAAAAACCATAAGAAATTACAGTTAGGCCTAAACGCACACACATGGCCTAAAATGAATGCTATATGAAGATTTGCACCAACAGTTTCCATGAAACTACCTTTTTATCTAGTCCCCGTATTTCTGAACATTAATTTGCTATACGACTTAACAATAGCAAAGGCTAATAGGTTAAGTTTTTGAGTCTCCACTCGTTGAACCCATATTGTCTACTTTGTGCCAGGCACTAATGCCGGTGGCAGAGAGAGACCAAGAGCAACCAGAAGCCCTATCACCGCCCTCCTGGAGACCACACATATTGCAGAGTGGTAAGGGTGAGGGAGGACCAGCAGAATAAAGGTGAGGAGCGCTAAGGCTGCAGTTGTAACTAGGGTAGTCAGCAAAGCCTTCCTGAAGTGATGTCAGAGCAAAACCAAGTGAGGAAGCGAGCCTTGCAAATGAGCATCTGAGGAGAAGTTGGAGGAAGAGGACTCCAGCCGGAGGGATGAACCCTAAGATTGGACTGTGGCGAAAGCACGGCAGTCCAGAGGGGCCAAAAGGCAGCAGGAGAGAGAGAAGACGCGTCAGAACAGCAGCATCCTGCAGGGCCCGAGTGTAAAGTCCTGTTGACAATCAAGTGGGTTGATGACCCTGGTCCTAGCAAAGCCCTGTGCTCCAGAGATCACCAACTGGGAGCCAGAGGGGCGTGGGCTTCATTCCCGCTTTGGCCGCTTACTCACTGCACCACCTTGGGCAAACTAACCTTTCTGCATCCTCTTTTCCTCCTTTGCACAATGGGGATAATACCTCACAGATCTGTTAAAGGATCAAATAAGGTAATTGTACCAAGCCCCTGAGACGATAGTGTTCAATAGAAGTTATCGTTAATTATAAATTAATCCAAAAGGTGGGGGAGGAGACATGGAATATTTCTCAGTTGGACCAATACTGAAAAGCTTTGGAAGTGGACAATAATATGTTATAAAGTTAATTCTCAATATCCCACAAAGGAAAAAGGGAAAAAATTCAGTGGGATTTTTTTTTTTTTTTTAAGATTTTATTTATTTGACAGAGACAGCAAGAGCAGGAACACAAGCGGGGGGAGTGGGAGAGGTAGAAGAAGGCTTCCCGCTGAGGAGGGAGCCCGATGCGGGGCTCGATCACAGGACCCCGGCATCATGACCTGGGCCGAAGGCAGACACTTAATGACTGAGCCACCCAGGTGCCCCTCAGTGGGAATTTCTTGATTCAATTGTATATTTTTCTCAAACTGTCTGCCTATGAGCTAGTTTGGGGTGCTCTATCTCAAAATTAGAGGATAGTCATGTTTTCCCAATGTAAACAAAATTAAAGTTTCAAGTCGTTTTTTCCTAATTTTAAGATTTATTAATTTATTTGAGAGAAAAAGAGCGAGCGGGGAGAGGGGCAGAGAGAGAGAAGCAGACTCCCTGCTGAGCACAGAGCCTGACGTGGGGCTCGATCCCACGACCCTGAGACCGTGTCCTGAGCCGAAACTAAGAGTCGGACACCCCTAGTTTTTTCCTAATTTTAAAATGTTAATTCCAACTACAATTTGCCTACCTCCAAAGTGATAGCAGACAACCAAACAAGTGAACAGAAGTGAACCAATTAGTGAAAAACAAAAGCAGCTGCCCATGTATTCAATAACCATTTTGTAGACATGTATGGAAAATGCTCTATATTTAAAATCATTCCCTACGTTTATTAAATAGACAAAATGAATCCGAGCTTACAGGGCAAAAGTACTCCTGTGTTTTCAGCTCCCTACCAAATTACAGCCACAAAAAGAAAATGTGCAATTTGGCGTCCAAAGGTTTTCTATCCTAGACAACTACATTTCAGACTTGACTCAGAAAAAGAATAATAGGATGCTCTACATTTATGAGCTCCAAGCTACTTTCACTTAGCTGTTCAGATTATTTGTGGAATAAGATAGGATATAGATAAATAAATTGTCCAAACTGGCTTAGTGTCCTGCCAGGCTCAGGGGGCACCTCGGGCTATTTCCTGCTCTCCATTTCCCCTGCCTTGTTCTTTTACTGTCTTACCTTGACTTCAGATCCTGTTCTTAATTCTGACTTGCCCCTTCCATTCCCAAGCTGACTTTTGGAGATGCTTTTTCCAATCAGCCAGTACTTTATTGAGCACCTATTGCATGCCACGTTCAGGCACAAGGAATGCTCTTCGTCTTTTCTGCACTAACCCTGT